AAAAAAATCTAGACTACTTTAATATCATGAGTTTTTAAGTCAAGGTTAAAATATGCTTAAGGGCTTTTGCTGGAAAGACTGTTACTTAACGCCAAGTGCCAGTACCTTTGATGTGATATTAACAGTGTTCCGAGCAGTAAGACACAAGAGGAAATGATTATGGGCACAATCACATACAGACCCGCATCATTCCAGGGCTTGTCGATATCATCTGAAAAAGAAACATGATTACCGCAACTCAGTCACTCGAGGAAACTTTATTTCTGTATAGTAAGTCATGGTACTCCGTTTCTGATTTCACCCTAAATCTGTACTATCTTCAAAACTACAAATATAAAAAAGAATGAAAAAAAAGTCATGTCAACACTAATAAAATAACTACATTGACTAGAATTATTTACTTGCCAAACATCTCCATCTGACTTTTTAAAGACAGTCTCCTTGTAGCCCCAGCTGACGTAGAACTTGCTATGTAGACTAGGCTGTCCTTGATCTCACAGAGATCTGCCTGCCTCCAGGTGCTGATCATTTTTAAGCTACGTGAGCCAGGTTGCTAGGATGAGCTTCGGCATCTGCTCCTGCAGAACCTGCCAACAGCATCTTCGCCTTGTCTGTTCCAGACACACCCGGGTCCTTGCTTGGCTCCTTGGGCCTCAGCACACACATACACCAACCAGCCTGTCGTGTGCTTCCCATTTGTACTCGGAGCTTGACTCTAGGTACCAGTACATAGAAAGACCTTTTTTTTTAGGTCTTTTTGAGACAGGGTCTCCCTGTAGCCCCAGCTGACCTGGAACTCACTATGTAGATCAGGCTGGCCTTGAATTCACAGAGATCCGCCTGCCTCTGCCTCCCAAGTGCTGGGATTAAAGGCGTGCGCCACCACACCCGTAGAAAGACCTTTTGACACCGTCTTGGCCTCACCACCACATTGTAACTGTGCTTTTCATTTTATTTCAAGGCATTTACTTCTACCTGGTATTGCATCTTACATAATGTTATTGCTCACAATTCCACTTACAGCCTTGGAATCCAAGCTCTGCCAAAGTAGATTTACGTTTGCTATTTAATCTCCAGTCCTTAGAATAAAGATCAACAAATATTTGTTCAATAATAAATTATTATTTGGCAAGGGGAGTTTTTCTCTCTATCCATTCTTAGAAAAGGCTTGGGAAGCTTTCAGCGGCACTGAAGCTGTTGAAATCCAAATGGAAGGTGTATAGTGAATTTAACTCTGTAACTATCCCATTTGGGGGCAGGGGGACTTCCCTTGAGCAACTCAGTGACAGATCTATGTAAACATCAAGTCTTCTATGATTCTATCAGGAAAAGAATAACCCAGGGACAGCATTATTACCAACAAATTAGGAACACAGAACAGAAGGCGAGACTCCAGGTTGTCCTCTGACCTCTACATGTGAACTGGCAAGCACATGGCATGCATGCATGTGTGCACACGCACGCACATGCACACACACACACAGAGTAATAATAATAAATTTTCAAAAAGAAAAGTAAATGTTTTACCTTGGGTGAAACCATTAATTATCTTTGGTTTTCCTACTCCTTCCATAAATATTGGGTAAAGACTGAACTGATATTTCTCAATGGGAATAAAATTATCTGAGGAGAAAAACACAGTAAAAGCTCATATTAACTAATGAATGGAACCTACATATTTAAAAACACAGGTTGCATCCCCCATTATTAGAAATCAGTAGTTATTTACAGATTGACTTGATGACTAAAGAAATTTCAAAAATAACTTGAGCACTCCAAATTTCCTAGCAGTAATATTAGTTTCCCAAATAAGTTTTCAAAAATCTTACTCCGACATAGATGGCTGCAATTTTTCAAGGGCAAGCACCAGTGACAGCCGTAAGTTCAAGGAATAGTTTCTCTTTCATTCCTAAACTTCCTTTCCCAGGATAGCATGTCCTCTCTCCCTTCTCTTCTCAGAGTAAGCAATATTCCCTTCCTGAGTGAATTCAGCTCGCTTAGTTTGCCCATTCAAAGTGTCTGGGAGGAGTCATGGGCAAAGGTAGGGGATGAGAAACGGGAAATGAAGAATTCTCTTGCAATATCTGGGATCTAAATACTTAGAGAATGACCATCCCCGTACAATGTTCAGGAGGGATCTGGCAATGATTTGCACGGATGCTGATAATGCATGAGCAGTAGTCCGTAAGAGGCAGAGCTCTGTGAAGTCCGCACTCTTCATCCCTCTCGCTTTAAAACTGCAGAGTAACCACCTAGATGGCAGTGATGCGGAACTTGGTTCCTCACCAATAATTTACAAATAAATTTATCCTGACACTAAATTCTAGGTGCTGGGAATGAAAGGAAAACGTGCACCCGCTGGGCGGTTTGATTCCGTAAGACCAGGGCATCGTCAGCTTCCCTGCTTAACCTCCTTTCATGCTGGCCCTGCATCCAGCTAACGTTATTCTATGTACTTGCCTGCTCTACTCCCGTCTCAGGGTAATAGCCACCCTTGAGGAGATCATGCTGGCCTGGGTCAGCAGGTCCCAGGTCCTCAGACCTTTGACCTAGCCCTCCCACTTACTGTGAGTGACATTACAATTGAGTGCATAGTTCGGGAAAACGATTTGGCATTAGATAGTAGAAGTCATTAAAAAGAATAAGCTGGAAGCAACATAATCTCAACTAAATAAATACCTTATGTACATTTTAGAATAAAATGTTATATGATCATCACATATTCGGGTAGAAAGGATTGGGGAGAAGGTATGTGACATCTGATTGCATCTGTGTAAAACATTAAAAAGAAAAATGCTCAAAGGAAATACACTGAAACATTCTGATATGGAGACAGGATTATAAGTATTAATATGGTAGCATGGATCATCCACAGTTTGGGGGTTTTCATTAGTTGGCTGTATTATCCAAATTACTAATTTCTAGTGTCATACTAACCCATGAGAGAACTTACTAAAGTACTGTAAACATACCATGAATATAATACTTCTTGGCATTTGAAGGAATTCTAAGCCATTTAATCCCATCGTCTTCATTAAGATTCTTCCATTCAATAATCAAGTACATTATATTGTAATCACTGGGTAACAGCGTCCAGGAAAGAATCACACAGCTGCTGCTTAGGAGGTAAGCACTGAGTGACTGCACGGCACCTACTGTGGGGAAGACAAGGAATTCATTTTTAAATTCAAAATTAATGAAGATTTACTAATAGCCTTGAGAAATTATAACAGACGAGGGGAGAAGGAATTGGAAGCAGACGATTTATATGAATGTCCCATAAGATGTAGGGATCTATAATGTGGAGGGGAAAACGTGATTCTATTTAAAATCTAAAAATAAGAGTTTTGACAGAATCAAATTGCTCTCAGCTGGAATTTCATACAAGCCTATTATTAACCATCCTCTCCGATTCCCACATGCTCTTCTCTCCTGCTGGTGAGCGATGCTTTCAAACATGTCCTCAGCAGAGTCCTTTCCGAAAGCCCTGGTGCATTTCCACATCTGAGGAGACAATTCCTCTCATGCGTGCCTACATGGCCACAAGAGCCATGTCTCAGCCCCTCTCTGCTGTGTCTGTACTCTGTGTGAAGCCACCCTGGCCTTCCTTTATCTCCTTCCCCGACTTTTGGAAGCTTGACCAGGTATGCCCCTGTTGGAAGATAATGCTCTCCCAACCCTAAATCTTTGTGGGAAATTTAGTTTCTACTCAGTATCACTTCTCAAGATGACTTTCTATTCTATCCTCAACCCAAGGTCAAGTTCCCTTTTACTTTTTTTCAAAAAACCATATTCTTTTTCTGAGGGCACATCTCAGTTTATAAATAGACATTAACATATCTGATTATTTTATTGAAATATGTCTCAACTATTGAACTCCAAATGATGTAACCATTATGTTTTTCCTACCACTACTGAAGGGTTCAACGAATGTCTAGACCATATTAACTAAAAGAATTTAAGTGTAAAGCATTATACGTGCTGGTTGTTGTGAATCATATGAGAAGCTTATGTACATTCAAAAGTAATCACAACACAAGATAAGATATAAGCTGGGCATGGTGGTACATGCTTTTAATCCCAGCACTCAGGGGGCAGAGTCAAGCCTGGTCTACATAGCAAGTTCCAGGCCAGCTGGGTCTACAGGGAGATCCTGTCTCAAAACAACAACAAACAAGTAACAAGGGAAGATATAAAATATCTTGAGCTGGTGAGATGGCTCACCGGGTAAGGGTACTTGCTGCCTGACCTCCAGAGTTCAATCCTGGGAAGCCACATAAAGGAGCAAAGGAAAAAAACCAACTTGACTGATTTGTCCTCTGGCCAACACACACACTGAAGTAGGCAGGCACACACATACATATCCCTGTCTCACACACACAAGTAAAATTCTAAATTAAAAAATATATATTAAAAATATCTTAAGAAATGTAGAAAGTGCTCTAAAATTTTTAAAGGGGATAAGACATATTCAAAAAGTAAGCAAAGGCTTCATTAAGGACGTAACCCTTGGAAGGCCTTTAGATTGGTAGAAATATAGGAAACTTTATTTCCTGTATTTTCCACTTTCCTGTACTTTCCACTTAAAATGGATACTTTGAATATACAATCCAGATCAGATGCATCTATTGGAAGTGGCTCTCAATTCTCCAAATGATCAAATGTATTAAAATGTATTGACTACTCACATGAAATAAGGTTCACAGTAATTTCCCAGTCTCAGCAATTAACCTGAATCCACATAGCATGAACATATTACTAAACTACATAGAATTTACATATAAGTAAATGCTGTAAGTTTACTTACATGCATATCATATGTACTTATAGCATACTATATAATACAACATCTACAATGCTGTGTATATTATGCTGTATATTTTAATAGTTACATACACTCACAGATAGAGAAATGGGATAAAAAATACCCATGGTGATCCACGAGTTCCATTGCACCAAAAAGGTTAAGTATTAGATTTGTTAGAATAGTCTCATTGGTGATATGTCATTTCCAAAATATTCTACCACATGAAGACAATCAGTGCACAATATACTTTTGTTATTTTTCAGGCAGAGAAGAGGTTACAGAGGTTACATATTAGAAAGGGTGTTAGGTGACGATTCAGTGTCTCTTCTTACCTTTGCTCACCGGCCATGAGAATGTAAGATTCAGGTTTGCTAAGGAAGCACCAATGGAATTGATGGCCAGAACTGTAACAGTATGTGCTTGCTCTGTCCATAGGAAAGTGAGATTGGTGTTATTCCCTACATCTTCTGACCACGTTCCGTTGTGGGAAGTGAGATGTTTTACCACATACCTCCTCACACTGCACAACGAGTCATTTTTCATCAGGGGCTGTAGTAAACATAAACACTGATTAGTTTATGGCCCACAGTGCTTTTTATACCAACTGAGCTTATGGAGTTCTTGGTACACATTTTCCACTAGGAGGAAGGAGTTAGACGAAGGCAGGCACTGCCCATGCTAGTGCTGAGGGATTGGAGGTAGAGCGGGGTTGAAGCTGCCTGCAAACACAGTAGGTGTGGACACAGCTTGGAGTCATGTGACACCTGACCCTTATTTTCCCCCTTTGGGACTCAGACACTAAATTCTGTAAAGATAATGAAATAGTAACACAATTAGGACATTCATCTACTGAGACGTTTCACTCTAATTTTAGAGAAAGACTGATGAGGAAGATCCCTCATCTAATCAACAAGCAAATACTCTCCAATTTTATGAAGAAACAAGAAAAAGCTCAAGTGTCAATCATCACAAACATTAATCTGAGCAAAATCTATCATTGTTTTCCTATGCTATGATGTGCTTGGAAGATTATTTAGAATGAGAAGAGTTTTTGCAAAACAAACTGGCAGGTTAACAGCAGAGATTGTTGGGGCAATGTATATGGTATGGCACTTCTGTCCCAGAGCATTTAAAAGAAAATCATACTATGCCAGGGATGGTGGTACACACTTTTAATCCCAGCACTCAGGAAGCAGAGGCAGGTGGATCTCTGTGAGATCTAGACCAGCTTGGTCTACATAGTGAGTTCCAGATCAGCTGTGGCTACAGGGAAACCCTGTCTCAAAAAGACTAAAAAAACATACCATGTTATAAACTAGTCCCATGTAAAACACACACCAGATCCAAAGCTATCCTTCCATTCTAAAGACTAACAAAACATTCTACTTCCTAATCGATCGCCTTTACCCACTGCAGGTAAAATTAAATACTGCAATCCCTTAGAAAGCCACAGAAAGCAGAACTTTATATCACAGACTAGAGCAATTGTTTTCCACTGAGATGCCTCTAAGTCAGAAAAGACAGAGAAAAACAGAAACATAGACATGTCTCCTGCAGTGCTTGCAACCTTCTCCAGATGGGAGAAATTATTATTAGCCATAGCAAGAAAAAAAATCTCAAAAGTAATACAAATGCTGCATTTTAGCTGAAAAATCCATGTCCGTTTGAATATGTTAATATTTATTTTTGTAATAATCAAATTAAGAAACAAAGATATTACAAAATCTCACAGCTTACCTTGTACATTTTCTGCCCCAGCCCTAAAATGGGCATTTCTCCCAAGAGTCCTGGTTCCTTTTACAGGATAATATTGGAAACAAATCTGCACATGTTCCTTCCTATTGAAGTGTATAACTTCTTAATTTTTAGAGGCTCTCAATTTACAAATCCAGGATACATGTGTGTATTCTAACCCCTGTACATATATATCTCTAAAAATTCTTATAAAAAAAACATCTAAGGGAGCCACCAGCTTCCTGGGGCCAGCATCTGTCCTGGGTTAGTTCCATGTCCCCACTGTGCTTTGACTCCCCCAGCCTCGTTCACCCTCCCAGCTCCCCAACCCCATCTCTCCTCCTAGAGTGGACACTGGCCCATTTCTTTTCTTGGCACCCCAGACCTCTGGACTGCCCTCTTGGCCCAGATTCCCCACTGCTTCCTGACCTTTTGCACCCAGACCAACCCAGGTCCTAGGTCTACTCCCCAGGAGCCCTAGGTGTCTATTCCCTCCCTCATATCACCTTTGCAGTTCTGGGCAGCACAGCCATCAGCTCCCTGGGGCCAGTTTCAGCCAGATAAGTTCAGCTGCTCACACTGTGCCTTGACTCCCGAGCCTCGTTCACCCTCCCAACTCCCCCACCCCATCTCTCTTCCTAGCATGGGCAGTGGCCTATATCTTCTCTTGGCACCCCAGACTTTTGGACTGTCCTCTTGGCTCAGATTCCCCACTACTTCCTGACTCTTTGCACCTAGTCCAACCCAGTTACAGGGTCTAGTTCCCAGGAACCCTCAGGGTCTGTTCCCTTCCCCACCTCAGCTTTGCGTGCCTGAGACAGGCCCTGGACCCTGACTAGCCCAGACCCCAACTTCCTGAGGCCAGCATCTTTCCTGGAGAGATCCAGACCTTAGGAGAAAGCCTGAGAGCATCTGATCCTAATCTGACTTGGGCCTCTGTAGGAACTCCTGAGCAGCAGAACAAAAGCCATTTGGTCCCTCCAATAAGAAATCAAAGGAGAGAGCCTGAAGCCTAGACAAACTAGCTTTTCATTCTCAACAAGTAAACCACAAAGGCACATAAAGTTTACAAAAACAAACAGACCTAAAGTCAAAGGAAGGCTTGAGTCTCACACAAGAATCAAAAACTACAAAAGAAATCCACATGTCAAAGTCACAGTGAAAAAATAATAACATGAAAAACCCAAATAATATATCCCCACAAAGTACCAACAGTCCTCTAGAGGAGTACAATGAGAACCACCTAGAGATAACACAGAACATGGAATTCAAAAGAACAATTACAAACGTGATAAAAGAATTCAGTGAATTTGAAGAACAAAGAAATCAAAGAACTGAAAGAAAATAGGGACAAATTTCTGAATGAATTCAGAAAAGAGTTAGGAATATTGAAGAATACTTAGGCTGAAATGAAGAAGGAAGTGAAACAATCAATACGCCAATTAGAAACGACATGAGAGGGCCTCACTAATAGGATGAACAAAATAGAAAACAGAATATCAAGACTGGAAGACAAAGGGGATGAATTAGACCATTCTAGCAAAGATTATAAAAAATTTAGGAAAACACAAGAATGGAATTTGCAAGAATTGTGTGTCACCATAAAAAGACCAAACTTACACATCATAGGCATAGAGGAAGAAGAATCTCAGGATGATGGTATGGACCAGATCTTCAACAGGATTGTAGAAAAAAATTTCCCCAAATTAAAGAAAGAGATACCCATACAAATACAAGAAGCACATAGAACACCAAATAGACAGGACGAGAAAAGAAACTCTCCATGGCAGATCACAGTAAAAACACTAAATATACAGAACAAAGAGAGAATACTGAAAGCTGCAAAAGAAAAAAAGTTACACATAAAGGAAAACCCATCACAATTACAGCTGACTTTTCAGTGCAAATTATGAAAGCCAGAAGAGCCTGGACCAAAGTATTCCAAATTCTAAATGACCACAGATGCCAACCCAGATTACTTTACCCAGCCAAAATGTTGATTATAATCAAAGGGGAAAGAAAAATCTTCCATGACATAAATAGGCTGAAAGAATTCATGTCCACAAAACCAGCCTTTCAGAAGTTCTTGAAGCAATACAAAGAGCTGAAGAAAGGAGACTATACCTAAGGGGTAACAGAAAGAAACTTAATGAAGGTATAACTGGAAATGCACAGCTACTTTACCCAGCCAAAATGTTGATTATAATCAAAGGGGAAAGAAAAATCTTCCATGACATAAATAGGCTGAAAGAATTCATGTCCACAAAACCAGCCTTTCAGAAGTTCTTGAAGCAATACAAAGAGCTGAAGAAAGGAGACTATACCTAAGGGGTAACAGAAAGAAACTTAATGAAGGTATAACTGGAAATGCACAGCTACACCAAGAATGTAGAATGTGGCTCCAGCTCTTGCTCCAGGTTCCTGTCCTGATTTCCTACCTTGGGCTACCTGATGAACTGTGACCTGGGAGACGTACGCTAAATAAACCCTTTCCTCTCCAAGTTGGTAGTGGTCAGAGTATTTTGTCACAGAAATGAAGAACAAACTAAGACAGAAATCTTTCATTCATAACTTTAAATATCAATGGACTGAAGTCCCCAGTCAAAAGACACAGACTACTTGAATGGATTAAGAAACAAAACCCATCTTTTTGTTGTCTGCAAGAAACCTATCTCACTTTCAAGGACAGACACTATCTTAAGGTGAAAGGATGGAAAAAAGTATTCCAAGCAAATAGTACTAAGAAAAAAGCAGGAGTTGCAGTTCTAATATCTGGCAAAATAGACTTCAAACTAAAACTAATCCAAACAGATAAAGATGATCACTTCATTCTGATCAAAGGAACAATTGACCAAGAAGATATTATAATCATGAACATATATTCACCAAACTCTGGTGCACCCAACTTCCTAAAAACAGTACTACAGAGCTGGGAGTGGTGGTGCATGCCTGTGGTCCCAGCACTTGGGAGGCAGAGGTAGGCAGATCTCTGTGAGTTCAAGGCCAGCCTAGTCTACATAGTGAGTTCCAGGCCACCTGGGGCTACAGGGAGACCCTGTTTCAAAAACACCAAAAAAAAAAAAGCAAAATAAAAAAAAATCAACAAAAAAAGCACTACAGGACATTAAGAATCAGATTAATCCCAACTCATTAATAATAGAGGACTTCAATACCCTATTGTCTCCATTAGATAGATCAACAGGGCAGAGAGTTAACAGAGAGACATCTGAATTAAACATTACCATACATCAAATGGGCCTAACAGATGTCTACCAAATATTCCACCCAAGCACCAAAGAATACACTTTCTGTTCAGCACCCCATGGAACTTTCTCCAAAATTGACCATATACTGGGGCACAAAACAAGCCTCAACAAATACAAAAGGATTTAAATGATTCCACACATTCTGTCAGACCACAATGTAATGAAGCTTAAAATTAACACTGAAAGAAACCATAGTAACTATATGAACACATGGAGATTAAACAACGGTCTCCTGAATGATGAATGGATTAAAGGAGAAATTAAGAAATAAATAAAAGTATTCCTGGAACAAAATGAAAAGGACAATACAACACAACAAAACCTCTGGGACATGCTGAAAGCTGTCCTTAGAGGGAAGTTTATAGCTCTAAGTGCCTACATCAAAAAATAAGAACACGAATAAATGACTTAACATTGTAACTCAAGACACTTGAAAAGCAACAGCAAATGAAACCCAAACCCAGCAGACAATAATAAAAAACAAAAATCAGAGCAGAAATTAATGAAATAGAATCAAAGAAAACAATACAAAGAATCAATGAATCCAAA